CAGCCAGCATGGCTGGCTGGGGAATTCTGGGAGTTGAAGTCCATGTGTCTTAAAGTTGCTGAGGTTGAGAAACACTGGTGTAGACAATCCCGTGCTACATGGACCAGTGATCTGGCTTTGTGTCTGTGTCCCTCTCCTGTCTAAATATGGCTGGGAGGTGTGCAGAGCTTGCATGATTGATCAAGTACAGCATGGTGGAACGAGGGGCAGCAATAACCAGAAGTTTTTTTTTTTCCCCTTAGGCAGCAGCAGCACCCAGACTTTTTCCAGTGGCTGTGCATGGATACACTGAAATTGTGCTGCCCTTCTGGCACCTATGGCCCTGATTGCCACAGTGAGTTTTTATAAGCCCTCTGGTGTTTCCTGTAAGGGATGCTCCAACAGTCCACAGTCGTTTGTGCATCTCAAATCCTGAGCTCATACTCAGGTCCTGGCCAGAGCAAAGACTCTAGTTTGCTCTGTAGGGTGTTTCAAAAGAAGACCTTCCACTGATTCTGTAGCATTTCTACTGGCCACCTGGCTGGAGATGAGGGGAGTTGCAGTCCAGCATTTCTAGAAGGCACCAGATGGGGGAAAGTATCATGAAAGTCTAATGAACAGAAAGATCTGAGTTGGCTTGTTTTTAATACAGGTAGTCCTCATTTAGCGACCGCAATTGGGACCAGCAGCTCTGTCATTAAGTGAAGCAGTCGCTAAGTGGGGAATCATGTGGCTGGGACTGTGTTTTCCTATTCCCTACTTCCCTGCCCTTCAGAATGCTCACCCCAGCACTGGGATAATTAGCAGGAAGGGAATTAATGTTTGCATTTACATTCATTGGAGAGGAAGGGATTACAGGAGAGTAAGCAGGCACACAATGGGGAATACACCAGGCTGTTTGCGTAGCATGCTCATGGCTTCTGGCACCAGCGCATTGCTTTTGGTGTGTATACCCCATTGTGTGCCTGCTTACTCTCTTGTAATCCCTTCGTCTCCTATCTCCCTGCCGTGCAAGGGGAAAAGAAAAGAAAAACAATAGGCCAGACACAGGACAACACATACTGACTGTAATGGTGATCACGTGACTGAGGGACTCTGTGAAGGTCGTAAATGTGGACATTGGTCACAAAGTTATTTTTTCAGCATCGTTGTAACTTTGAGCTGTCGCCAAATGAGGCAGTTGGTAAGTGCGGACTACCTGTGTAAATTGGTGTAGGATTTCCAATCACTTGAGAAAGGGGGGCATTCAGCCACTGTGAATTCATAGAATCAAAGTTGGAAGGGATCATTCAGGCCGTTCAACCCACCTCAGTCTGGGACTCCAAAATAAAACATCTAACAGATGGCAGTCCAGCTTCTATTTAAGTGCATCCAATGGAGGGGAGCCCACCACCTTCTGAGATAATTTGGGTCCAGAGTCCAACTGCTTTTCCTGTTAAGAAATGTTTCCAGTAGCCAGCCAGAATCTACCTTCCTATAAATTAAGACCAGTAATCCATATCCTGCACCCTGGGAAGACAGAAAACCAGTCACAGCTGTGTTCTTTGTGACAGTGTTCAGGAACTAGAAGAGTGCTAATTATTTCCTTTCCAACTTTTCCTCTCAGAGTTAAACATTCCTCAGTCTCTCCATATACAACTTAGTTTCCAGTCCCCTGATCATCTCTATTGTCTTTCTTTGGACTATTCCAGTTCTCTGAATCCTCTTTAAATTGTGGTGCCCAGAACTAATCACACTAGTTAAGCAGTCAGTTTGATTCTTCATACATGAGTGGGTGGCCATATAAAATGAATGAATGAATGAATGAATGAATGAATGAATGAATGGGTCACCCCATGGG